CATGCAAAATGCGACATATTGTTTTTATTTTTATTAATTTAACAAATAAACATGCACAGACAAACATACAAATAATTACACAAAAATACCACAAAATATCACAAAAATTGCACACCAAGAAAATTTTTTTATTTTTGAATTTTTTGGGAGTAATTATCATATAGGGCAAAAATCACGTGCTTACAGCTGCCCCTCTTTGCCCGAAGACACGAAGGGTTTTCGTGCAAAGATGAAGCGAGCGATTTTTGCCCATCCGAGTACTCCGTGTGAAGCATTTTTTGAAAAAGATTTAACCGAACCTTTGCTTTCAAAGGTTTCCTACATATCCTGGGCTAACCGAACCTTTGATATACCCAATGTTTTTAGGTCTTCAGAATACTTGTTGGGTCTTGTTATCTTGTAGACCTATTTGCACACAGTACCTGTCTCTCTCTTTCTTCTTCTTCGACTGTATCGTCTCCTTCATATCCAAAATTGGGTTTAGAGTTCTTTTGTACACGATTCTGGTCCAATATTCCAACACCCCCCTTAAGTTGGAGGGGTGAGAAATCAACCCCAACTTGGAAACGATCGCGCTGTGTAGAGGTCCAGAAAGAGGTTTGGTGAAGACATCGGCTAACTAGGATTTTGACGGAACAAAGGATAAAGAGATCAGTCCCGCGAGGTACTGTTGACGGACGAAGTGACAATCGATTTCCACGTGTTTTGTTCGTTCGTGGAAGACAGGGTTTTTTTGCTATGTGAATAGCGGCCTGGCTATCTTAATGTAGAGAAACTGGTAAGCTTGGGGAAAACGAGAGATCTGTGAGAAGGCGTACAAACCATGTTAGTTCAGTAACGACCTTCTTCATAGAACGATACTCGGCCTCGGCAGAAGAGAGTGAGATTGAAGATTGTTTCTTTGATTTTCATGAGATAGGAGAGTCGCCAAGATTGATATAGAAGCCACTGGCTGAACGACGAGATTCCGGACAAGACCCCCAATCCGAGTCGCAAAAAGCCATTAATGAAAGAGAAGGGTCTGATTTCATAAAGAGCCCAACTCCAAGTGAAGATATCAAATATCTTAGACAATATAGCCCAGCATCAAAATGTGGTCAACGTGGGCTTTGCATATATTGACTCAGATGTTGAACTGCAAATGAGAGGTCAGAGCGAGTATGAGTTAAAAAATTGAGTTTGCCCAAAAGTCACATGTAGATGGTTGGATCGTGAAGAGGTTCACCAACATCGACTCGAAGCTTGCAACTAGGATCTAGCAGAGAGGAAGTTGGTCGTGAATCGAGAACACCAAACTCAGAAAGAAGCTCTAAGGTGAACTTTCTTTGACTGATAATTAGTCTATGTTTTTCTCGTATTATTCCATTCCGAGAAAATAATAGCTTCTCCAAGATCTTTGATTTTGAATTCGGAATTGAGGAAATCCTTTAGATTAGAAAGTTCTGTAGGGTCGTCACCTGTGAGAAGTATGTCATCAACATAAACAGCCACAATAGAAATTCCAGAAGTTGTCTTTTTGAAAAATAAAGAATAGTCATTAAGAGAATGGGAATAGCGTTTGAAATTGAGTGCACTAGTAAGTCTTGCGTACCACTACCGTAAAGACTATTTGAGTCCATATAAGGACTTTTTTAATCTGCACACATGATTAGTAGAAGGTGAAACCATACCTGGTGGAAATCTCATGTATACTTCTTCCTGTAGATCACCATGAAGAAAAGCGTTATTGACATCTAATTGAAATAATTTCTAATGCATTTTGACTACAATGGCTAAAATGCATCTAACAGTAGTCATTTCAACCACTGGACTAAAAGTCTCATTGTAGTCTATTCCTTCCCTTTGTATGTCTCCCCGTATAACTAGTCGAGCTTTGAACCTTTCAATACAGCCATCGGATCTATATTTAACCTTATAGATCCTTTACAAGGAAAAGGTTTCTTGCCTTTTGGTAGTTCAACCACTTCCCAGGTTTGGTTGGTCTCCAAGGCTTGAAGTTTTTTTGCCATTGCATCCTGCCAACTGGGATGTAAAACTACTTGAGGGAAACTTGTAGGTTCAATGATATGAGAGATAGAGTTTAGAAGATATTGATTGGATGGAGAGAGGTCGGTGAAAGTCATAGTAGTAGGTGAGACTGGTGTTGCAAAGCAAGAATTGGTTAGATCAGTCAAATATACAGCATTACATACATAATTTGTCCGATAAGATGGTGGATTATGTTCCCTAGTAGATCTCCTTAGTTCAGGTTGAGGAGGAATAGAATATGGAGATGAATTGAACCTAGATGTAGGAGATGAAGTAGGAGCTATTCTAGGTGATGTTATGGATAGAGGGGGAGGAGGATTAACATCTGATTCTAAAGAAGGTTGGGTATCAGACTGAGGGAAATGATAAGTTTGGTCTTGTACAGTGAAAAATTCTTTAGGAAAAATAGGAGGTTCAAGTGAAAGAGGGGGGAAAGGGAATACATCCTCATAAAAAAACGACATTTCTAGAGATAAAAATGGTTTTAGATTTAAGATCCAACAGTTTGTATCCTTTCTTTCCAAAAGGATATCCTAAAAAAAACACTTCACTAATCTAGATTCAAGTTTTGACCTGTGACGATGTAGGGTAGAGGCATAACATAGACAACCGAAACATCTTAGAAAAGCATAAGCTCGAACTTTCTCAAAAAGGATTTCAAAAGGAGTTTTAAAATTAAGAACTCTAGAGGGAAAACAATTTATTAAAAAAGTAGCAGTTAACAAACAATCACTCCAATATATAGTGGGGAGATTAGATTGGAATAATAGAGCCCTACATATTTCTAGAAGATGTTTATGTTTTCGTTCGACCACTCCATTTTTTTGTGGTGTAGAAACACAAGAGGTTTGATGAAGGATTCCATTAGAAGAAAAACCCCCTGAAAGAATGGATCCTGAACCTAATTCCAAAGCATTATCTGAACGAATGATTTTAACCTTAGTTGCAAATTGTCTTTCTACCATTGCTAGAAAGGATTTCAAAACTGGAAAAGCATTGCTTTTTGTTCTTAAAAGATAAGTCCAAGTTCCCCTACTATAGTCATCTACTATGGTCAAGAAATATTTATAACCATCATGAGTTGGGATCTTGTAAGGTCCCCAAGTATCGACATGAATTAGTTGAAAAATTGAATTTGTGTTGATATTGCTTGACTGAAAAGGTAATTTTGCCTGCCTAGCTTGACAACATATATCACAAGGATGATTAAACTTGACAAGAGAAGAAAACTGAAGACTGGTTATATTTTGCATACTGGATAGAGGCATATGCCCCAACCTTTTGTGCCACAGGCTTACATTAGAGTTGACCCTAGCAGAACAAGAAATTGAATGAGAGACAATGTCTTTCTTGAGGTTGTTACAAGCTGAATAAGACTGAAAATTGATTGATTTATATAATCTAGGCCAGAACTTAGAGAAGTTGGATTAAGAAGATATAGACCTTCCTTGACTTCACCAACTACCACTGGCCTCTTCAGTGAATGGCCCTCCAAGAATGTGCCAAAAGATGAGAAGAGCAAGGTACAAGTGAGTTGTTTAGTGAGTTTGTGAACCGAAATTAGATTAAACCTAAAATCTGGAATATATAACACATTGTTTATGATTAAATCTGGCAGAACATGCACACTACCAACTTGACTGACCTTGACTCTGTATGAATTTTGGAGATTCACATATAAAGGTTTTCTTAGAGGTTTCACATTTAATAAAATAGAATAATCAAAAGTCATATGTTCTGAAGCTCCTGAATCTATTATCCAGGAGGTAGAATTCATGTAAGGAAGACAAGAAAGACAATATAGATTAGGGGTATTGATTATTTTACCAGCATAGTTGGCACTAGCATTTGCATCAGAAAACTGTTCACCATGTTGTCCAACCTTCACCTGCTGAAGAAGTTGGTAAAGCTGACTGAATCTCTTGAGTGATGACTTTCCCTGTTGCATTTCCTTCCATTGTGTTGACTGATTGACTTGTGTTTTCTTCATGCTTGAGTACTGCATTGATGTGAGGTCCTTCTTGATACTTTTTGGATTTGGTAAACTTGAAGGTGGAGGGAAAACCAATGATTCTATAGCATTTATCATTGGAATGTCCGGTCTTCTTGCAATAGTTGCACACTAGGTTATTCTTCTTTCCTTCAAGATTTGCTTTCAGCTTTCCTTCTCCATTAGCATATTTCTGAAAATAGGTTGGTTGATTTTGTGCTAGAAAAGCATTCTCAACTGGGTTTTGTGTAATATGAATTTCTCTTTGCTTCTCATCTTGAATGAGAAGAGAATAGGTTTGATTGACACTTGGAAGAGGGGTAAGCATCAGAATATTACTCCTTACAGTTGTGTATGCATCATTAAGTCCCTTGAGAAATTGGATTAGCCTACCATATTGAAAAGACTTTAAAGCTCTTGACTTTCCTCCGCAATTACATTCACAGGTGCAGTGCACATAACTATTCAAGGTATCTAACTCATCCCAATTTTTTTTACCTTTGTATAGTATCCTGCTATATCAGAGGTCCCTTGCACTAGGTCACCCAACTCCTTTTGCAACTGATAAAGTTGAGCACCATTGCATTGTCCGAATCTAACCTCAAGTTCTTTCCAAATTGCATTTGCAATTTTTGAATAAAGGACCTTTTCAGCTATGTCCTTAGATAGATAATTCAAGATCCACGATATAACCATATCATTGCAACGATTCCACTGCTTGAAGTCAGTGGAAGAAGCATCAGGTTCAGAATATGTTCCATCAATGAAACCAAGCTTATTCTTGGCAGATAGCGCAATGACTATGGCCCTACTCCATCCTCCATACCCCTTCCCATCAAATACTGAGTTGACTAGAACCATTCCTGGTGAATCTGATGGATGAAGGTAATAGAGGTGAGTGGAATCCACAGCAGCTGGTTGAGTAATTGTGCGAGCTGCAGAAACGTTTGAAGAATCATCTGTGGAATTTGGTGTCATTTTAAGGAGGAAGATAAGGCTAAAAAAAATGTAGGTTGGGTTTCAGATAGCTATTGCTCTGATACCATGTAGGAATTTAGAAAAAATTCTTCTCTTATTCACTGTCTAATATTCTGTACAATGTATCTATTTATACAAATATTCAATAAATAAAAATATAAGGTACAGCTATACTAGTTACAAGTGTCTAATATGTTATTTGTTGTCATAGTATTAATGCACATAATGTGTACAGATATTACATAGTTGTAAAGTGCATACATAGTTGTAAAATGCATTTGGACATGATTATGTTGGAAGGATTAAGTATCTTTCAGTTGTATCCAATTATGCTAAATAGATTGGACCAGATCTGTAACAATAGGACTAGACTTGTGTTTGTATTGGGCCTTCACTTTGTTGTTCTGTACACTGACCCAGTTGGCCCAGAACTTTGTTATACCTAATGTTTTTGGGTCTTCAGAATACTTGATGGGTCTTGTTATCTTGTAGACCTATTTGCACACAGTACCTGTCTCTCTCTTTCTTCTTCTTCGACTGTATCGTTTCCTTCATATCCTAAAATTGGGTTTAGGGTTCTTTTGTACACGATTCTGGTCCAACATTCCAACATGCTATAAACTTTAAAGGTTGAATAAAGTTTTAATTCTTAGATCACTTTTTTCAATTAGAACGGGCTTCTAAGATATTTATTTCTATAATAAATAAATAAAATTCAGAACATATTTCTATCTACTCTTCTTCTTCAGTTTATACTTATTAGTCTGGAATAAATTTCTTAGATCACGATTTGCTTGCAAAACTTTTAGTAATTTAATTTTCTTCAACGCTTAGATTCCAGCAACGTAAAGAACTTAGTAGACTTCAAAATTTCAGTACGGGAGAATGTGCTATATTCATTTGAGATGGAAGAAGTTTTTGATTTGTAATACTATTCTTTTTCTTTTTTATGTGCATCCACAATTATCTTTTTTATTTCAACGTCCAGACTAATCTGACACAATTTTTTTTACTAAAACTCCGGCTGCTGGTATATTCGAAGAGATATGTCGACGATTTTACTGCAAATACTGAAATAGTTATTTGAAATTTTAGAAATTTGGCCATGGAAGTTTGTGTTTAGCATTTGAATGTTAGTAATTGAAATATTATTTCAAGTTAAATAGTGGTTTCTTTCAAGTTGGAACCTTCAGCATTCACTAACAAAAATGACACAAATAATATACTTTTGTGCCACTATTAATTTTTTAATCTAGTAATAAAAGTATTCGGAAAAAAGTTAGAATTTTAAAGCACGTTATGCAGGAATTTTCTTATGCGCTAAAATTTTAAACACATATTGGATAGAATTTAAAAGTATACATTAGTTATGGTGATCATAGGATTTTGCCATAATTCCCGATGGATCACAAGGATATTTCAACATCCTAACTAAAAATTCTAATGATTGTTAGAATTTCTGGTGCTTTAAAATTTTGACACGAGACTATTTTCAAAACGTTTGTTAACAGGATTAAAATAGAAATAGCGATTAAGAAAAAAGTCCACACAGCTTAATTACTACTAGAAAAATTTGGCTTCATATAAATAGTGGTTTAAAAAAGTTCATAAAACTTAATTACTACGGGAAAATTTCAGCTTCCACTCACTTGGTCCAAAATCATATATAAGGGATCTTTATACAAATAGTCGATGGAGTATATTGTCGACTATTTTAATGTAAGTAGTTAGGCAGATTTTAACTGAAAAAGTAAATAAATAATATATTAAGATGAGATCAACTTTTGTACATAGACGTGCATATATGTCTCATTCTTCCTTTCAAGAGTTCTCTGCGAAATTTAGTGGGCATTTAGACATAAGAGTTGTGAAATTCTGGAAAAAAGTGAATTCTTTTTTAAAAGTGAAAATAGTATTTGAAAATTAGAGTTGTGTTTGGATATGAATATAAGCTATTTTTGAATTTTTGTGTGTAATTTGAAGTAACAATTTTGAAAAATAAACTTTCGTAGTTTTTAAAATTTCTGAAAATTTTTAAAACTAAATTCAAGTAAAATTTAAAATTTTTATTGCCAAATACTGATTCCGAAAAGTGAACATTTTTGGTAAAAATAAAATATGTTATGAAATAAAAGCAATTTAGTAAAACATGAACAAGAAATAAAAGCAATTTAGTAAAACCTGAACAAGAAATAAAGATAGAGAGAAGGAAGAGATTTTCTTCTTCAATTGTGTGTATTTTTCCTATCTATTATAAGGCTTTATATAAGCATGAAAAATGACATTAAGATCATGGAAGAAATCATGGAGGAAGATTATACATTACCATAATATTTATCGTAACAATTTTTTTTTATGGCTCCTTAGTACTCCTTCGTTTCTTGGCTTCTTGCTATCAATTAAATAATTTATATTGAGTTCCACGTTTGGAAAAAAAAAATGACAGTTGATAATGGAGTAATTTTTTAACTAAGATTCCTATGTAGAATTTGCATAACATTCCTTTTCTAATCTTTACTCGACAGAAGTGGCTTGTAGGGCCTTTTTTTGGAAACTTGCCGACAGCGATGTTTGACATCGTCAAGTGTCACTAGTTAATTTACAGAGTTGATTCCCATTTGCCTTTGTCTAATGGAAGATGGGGAAGATGAGATCTTCCTCCATCTCTTGCTTTAATTTCTCTTATTATTATTCCACCTCTGTTGCATTCTTCGCATCACTATACGGTATCTATTTCGTCTTGATTTCAGCAAATGTGAATGGGTTTGATTCTGTGATACAGCTCCCTACATCTGCGTCTTTGAGGAACACGACCCGCAAATCAGAAACCCTTTTTGATGTCAGCGATTTTGGAGCAGTTGGAGATGGCATCACCGACGACACTAATGTAAGTCCCGTTCTTTTATAGGAGTATTTTCTTTTTGGTCTGCGTTCGTTATGATTATGTAATGCTTCCACAGCTATGAGATTTGTCATAAACGTTGAATTTTCCATTGTGCTACTAATGATTCTGTTAATTTTTTGCCACTATTTTTTTTTCTATTTCCTTTATTTGTTGTGGATCACTAATTTTTCCATTGTGCTACTAATGATTCTGTTATCCTTGAGCTGAGGATCTAGCGAAAACAATCTCTTTACCTTTGTAAGGTAGGGTAAGGTCGGCGTAAACACTATCCTTTCTCGAGCCCACTTATGGGATTACAATGGGTTTGTTGTTGTTGTTGCTTCTAACGATTCTGTTAATTTTTAGCCACTGGTACTCATTCTTCTTGTCTGCTACAAAACGTAATCGTAAGATTGATACATTAAATAAAAAAATTTAGAAAAGGTTTTAAGAAGGCTAGTGCATATCTTTTATTGTAATGAACAAACAAAGCAAAAAGTTGCTCGCTTTGCTTCTTAGTGCTGATAGTTTATTAGCTTTTGTTAATATGTTTGGTGAGCTAAAAGTTTTTGAGACATTGTTATGAAGATTGGATCACCAGAATGCAAAGTACTTAGCTTCAGTTAAGAAGTTCTTTTGTATTTTCAGTCTTTTAAAGATGCTTGGGACAAGGCCTGCTCTTCAGCATCACGATCGAAAATTGTCATACCTGGTGGATATTCTTTCTTAGTTCAGCCACTTAATTTTGCTGGTCCTTGCCGGTCAAAGGTGTCGTTAGGGGTGAGTGCCAAAATTGAGCATTTGTATGTTATCCAACTCTTTATTTAGCTAAAAGGGACGTAGTTGTCTTTTTCAATATACACCAGATTGCAGGTACTATTTTAGCGCCAAAGGATCCTAAAGTCTGGGATGGCTTGAATCCACGAAAATGGCTCTATTTCCGTAGTGTGAAATACCTGACAATAGAAGGAGGAGGAGCTATAAATGGTATGGGCCAGGAGTGGTGGTCTCGATCATGCAAGGTCAACTTAACAAATGTAATTCTCTTTGCCATTTTTTTCATCGTGCTTAATGGTACTCTTTTACAACATGAATTTGATGTTTTGCAATCTTTTGTTTTGCTAGCCGTGTCAACATGCTCCAACGGTCAGTGCTGCCTTTCCGTCTCATGTGATTAATTTTGACTTATATAGTAGATATCAACTCTGTTTCAGGAAAAAAAGAATTTTATATATGCTGATTATGGTCTTGATTCGTTAATTAATGGGAGTGCAGGCTTTAACTTTTCACAAATGCAACAACCTCAAAGTCAGGAACATTAAGATCCTTAATAGTCAACAAATGCATTTAGCATTTACTGATTGCAAACATGTTGCAGCATCACGTCTCTCAGTCTTAGCCCCAGCTGATAGCCCTAACACCGATGGAATCCACATAAGTTCATCTAAACAGGTCAATATCAAGGATTGCACTATTGGCACAGGTTAGTTGATCTTTAGTTATTGCAATTGGAGAAACAGATAGATCATGTCTTGGTCGTTCTTTTGGTATTATTGTTGTTCTGGCTGTACCTCTGCTCAAATGGCTTAGATTACTATCGAACAGATACAATGTATGTTTGAGATGATAAAATCGGATTTATGGTTCTAATACAGCATCTTAGGGGGCATAGCTGTGTGTTTGCAGAGGTTGAAATATAATGCATTGTCTAGGGAATCTGAAATTGTGGACCAGAAGTTGTTTGTAGTTCAGTTATGATTAGTGAAATGTGAGGTCTTCTTTTGGATACAATAAGCAGGTAAAATATATTAAGCTAACCATTCTTTTATGCCAAATCGATTGAAGCTCAATTAGTTTTTTTTTTTTTTAAAAAAAAAAATTTCTCACTGTTGCCGGATGCTCCAGTTGAGAGTTGAGCCTACGTCGTAGTTTCATCATCAACACTGTCACTTATTTTGGGTGATCAGGATGTCGTATTCACATTTGAGCCTCTATCGGATATTTCATTATCTTTTGACCAACTCAGAAACTGAATACAGGAGATGACTGCATATCTATTGTCGGCAATTCATCACGGATAAAAGTTAGAAACATTGTGTGTGGGCCAGGCCATGGTATAAGGTAGAAAATTTTGTTGTTTTGTTGAAGTTATGTAAAGATGAAGTTATAATTAGTACCCTGTTCTTTTAGCATTGGAAGCTTGGGAAAGTTCAATTCAATGTCTCAAGTTTACAATGTTCATGTTAATGGAGCATCTATTTCCAACACGGAGAACGGGGTTAGAATAAAGACTTGGCAGGTAATCCTGCTTATTTCTCTTTGATATCTGCATCGGATGAATCTTCATAACGTTGACATCATACCATTTTTCATCTTTAATAATTCAATTTGCTGACCTACGGTTACATATCCCCATCCCGTTGTTTGCTACCCCTTAATGCTTCTTCAGGGAGGTACCGGATTTGTCAGAAAGATTACTTTCGAGAATGTTTGGATGGAAAATGTCTCAAATCCTATCATAATAGACCAATATTACTGTGATTCTCTGCTGCCCTGTTCAAACAAGGTATGTTTTCTGCTCAATTTCTTGATTTTCAGTCCAAATTCATCTTCTTTGCCTAATCTTCTTGGTGTTCTATATATTGCTTGCTTGGAAAAGGAGTTCAATCTTGCATGGTTGTTGTGCATGTTAGCTAGTATATAGTGAGCAAGTATGCATCAGGTTATTTCTGCATTGAGCCTAAGATAAGGCTCGGTTGACATAGTAAATTATGGGCCTACTAGTGAACTAGTGAAGGTAGTGACATCCATGATGGAGTTATTGCTTGAGAACAAGGTGAATATTCAGTGGATTGTTATATATACCACATGGTGTTTACCTCTGTATTAAGCTCTTTTTTGATAAATACATGTTCTGCACTAAATGAAAGTTGTAATTCACTGTTCAGCATGTAGTCAAAAGAAATAGACCATCAATAGGTCCCTCAAGTATTCCGTTCTTCACGCCTTCCATGTTCTTTTGTGTGTGTGTGTGTGTGTTTTAATAGGTCTAATTCGAAAAACTACCACTACTCATTGTGCAGACTTCAAACATTCGCATTGATAACATATCCTTTGTGGGTATTAAAGGAACTTCAGCTACAGAAAAGGCAATAACAGTTGCCTGCAGCGATAGCTTCCCCTGTAGAAAGTTGTACTTGGAAGATGTTCAACTAACTTCATTTTCTGGGGAGCCGATAACATCTTTTTGCTGGGAGGCATATGGCTCATCCTCAGGTTTAAATTATCCGCCTCCTTGCTTTTCCTGTAATGACAGCATTCTTCAGCCAACAGTTTTATCCAACTGGAGTCAATCGATATGACATCTTCTGTGATAAAAGTACAGAGGCCCAGACCATATATCAGTTGTTAGCTGCTAAATGAATTGTCACAGGTATTCATTATCCTGGGGAAAGCTAGCTAACTTATTGAGCAAGTGGAACAGCTTGAGTGACAACTTATTTATCAGTAGCCGGTCTAAGTGTCAATATTTATAGAAAATACGAGTGTTAATTCGTGGATTTTAATTACTTATGTAAATAAAGTGCTCATTCTTTTTCATGAATCTTCATTAAAAAATTCCATGATATCTAACAATAGGATGAACAAACAGGAAAAAGCTTCGTACCCAGTGGGGAAAATATGAAATTGATAATTTTGTCCATTTAGGATATAAAACGTATAACTACATACTAGTTAGTATATCAAGGTCTATGTTCAATTTCCCTAAGAACAGGATTATTTTTGTTATTTCCCTTATGCATATGTGCAGAAATACAGGGTAAGACTGCGTACAATAGACCCTTGTGGTTCGGCCCTTCCCCGAAACCTGCGCATAACGGGAGCTTAGTGCACCGGGTTGCCCTTTTTTCCTTTTGCACATGTGCTCTGCAACATCTATCTCTGGATTTTTGTTGCTTGATTATCATTTATCATTATCATTATCATTCTATGCCTAAGAAAGAGCATGTCTGGATTATGATTCTACCGGTAACGCTTCATATAACTGTTTAAGGATTATAAAATATTAGAATACTATATTTTGGAGGACGATGAATCTCAACTTGGGGTCCAGAAACTTCTTTCGTGAAGGAAGGAGTTAAAGGAGAATTTGGCCAAACCTACAGTTCTGAATTTTGGAAACTGAAGGTTTCAGGAAAAAAAAATTGCTTCAGCGACAGGGCTACAACACCACAAATGATGAAATGGAATCCCAAAATTAGGCCGATTAAATTCCAATATTAGGTTGAAAGTGGCACCGACGCACCGCTTATGGAGGCGCTATTGAATGACAAAGTCAAAATCACATGTGCCAACACGTTACTTGCTTCTACTTTGGATATGGAACCAAGTCATGTCACATGCTCTTAAGATGGCATAATGATAAATGTGCTACCTACAAAGCAACAGTTAGGCATTTATTTAGGTACGGGTAAAGATGCCATGCCGATATTCATTGCCGATATTCGATCTACCTAATTGATCCAACCACATCCACTTCCTGTTAATATTATTCTTATGAGTTTGAAGTTTAGCATATAAAAACTCTAGTAAAATGGAAAGACATTTTGTTTTCCACCCAAGTTGTACGTATGATTGGTGAAATCAAATGTTGTTTTGGAGTCTAAACTCATTGCTTGCTAGCAAAAGAATAATTTTATTGTCAAACTCGTTTCCTAATATATAAACAGAAACGATTGGATATACGCATTCTGGATTATTGCATAAATAATTGATTTTGAAATAGAATAACCAGAATGATTAGCGTCGCACATGAGAGTGACAGTCTTGAATCGCCAAATATGGGGACACTACGTGGGGCCTTTCGGTATTAATCCATTGCTTTAGCCGCAATACTTTCAAACTTCGTGGCCTAGAAAGTGCATTCGTGTGGGGAATTTCAAGTATTTTGACCATTTTAATAGTCCTTGTAGGCGGCCCTCTTATAGTTAAGCTCTCTCGTTTCGCGTTTAAATTGCGTGCTTTGATTTTTTTCCTCCCACAACGTACTCGAGTTACATAAGCTTCACTTTTTTACGCATGTTTAATTCAATTTTACTTGTGACTACACCCATGATCAAAATATCACATTTAATAAATAGTAAGAATCAGGAGTTAAATTTTATTGATTGTATTGGACCTTCTATTACTCATGTTAACTATGTCAAAGAAAAAAAAATAACTTTTCTTGAATTGGCTAGTTTATTTATTTATTTCAAGATCATTGTGTTAAATGATGTCTAGCACTTGAACCATTCGTCTAATTTGCACCATACTCCCTAGTTCCTTCGTATATTTTCTTTCTTATTTAATATTTTCCAAAGGCTGATATAAGNCCCACCCAAATTCAAAAAGTAGATGGGAATCATATTCCCCACTTTTACTCATAACGTACTTATCATAGAGAAGAAAAGTCAACTCTATAATTTTCGTCTATCTATAAATACAGATAATCGAGAAGTGGATAGAAGCAGAGAGTTGTCAACTCAGTTTTTCAAAGCAAAAATAGAAAGCTGAAAGATGAGTAGCTCCTTGAAGCCTCGTTACTACACACCCAAAGCGGAAGAAGACAAAATATCAGAAAGACCCATAGATTTGATTAGAGAGAATAAGAGACCTAATTCAGTAGTACTGAAGAGGCCGTCGGAACCCAGCTCTATGGGTATGAGGAAACCGCCGGCGTCGGAGAATAAGGCGGCGCCACTACCAAAGAAGCTGGAAAGCAAGCCATCAGAAGATATAAATGATAGCGCAGAGGCTTTCATAAGGAAGTTTAAGAACCAGCTGCTTCTCCAGAGGCTCGAGTCTATTGAGAACTATGAGCAGATGCTTAAGAGGGGAACGTAGCTCTGTTTCTTCCTTTTTCTTTTTTCAATTTTTCGCGTGTATGAATTGTTTCATTGTATTATTATGTGTCCATGTGGTCATCTATGTCATGCATAAGTCATAATTATAAATAACTTGTAATATATGCTAATTAATTTTTTATTGGGTCCATTGAAATTTGCCTTCTTTCCTCGCATTACTGCGTGTTTGATTTATATTGCTTGTTAATGCTGCATCTTCTTGCTAAAAGAGGTTAGAATTTGTATATATCTTTCTTAAATAATGATCTTTTACGCCAAAAGATGATCTCCTATATAGGGAAATAAGAAAGGGAATTAAGCATCTTTATCTTCTCTTCCTTATTGATTGTGGTTTTGGAAATCAATGAGTTATAGTTATTTTGTAACTGAGAAAAAGGTTGTATCAAAAGCTAGCACATTTTGTGTTTGTTCAAATAGTAATTTGGGTATAATTATGTCAACAAGCTTCTTGGAAAGGTATAAAATGTGCCAAAGGGTACTCCAACTATTTCCAATAGGTTGGCATACTTAAAATATCCTTTAAAAAGTTTTTGACTTTCTATCGGATGGGTTATCTAGCTAGCAAATCTGGTACATTTGATGTTCTTATATGAATACTAGCATTTATTCATATTTGGCTGCAATTTCAAAATTACTTCACATTTTACTAGTGACATTCTTCTTTTACTTAGAAAATATTTTACTAGCTAAATTTGATCAAAGGACAAACTCATCAAATTCATTTTCTACCGTTTATTTTGTGACTTGGCAAAAGTAGACAGACATCTCTCTGTAGCGTTTATGCTCCTCATCACCCTATATATACTCAAGCATTTTTCTTCTTGTTTCATTACGTATGATAGGAGTTCTTGATTATGGTATAGATCGGAGTGCTTTGCCTCTCATGTTCGGGGCAGGCGAAGACGAGAGTCTCTTATAACAATACAGTATAGATCAACGCCCAAATTAAAGAGTAGAAATTTTATTTAAGGGAAATAGAAAAAAGTTGCTCAGTTAGGAACAGGATGATGATAGTCGTTCTTCCTACTCTTGGAATTTATTCAAGCCCTGATGCACTTTTTGAGTAACATTTTACCCTCGAGAAAAATCCACTGGATCCGGACTCATGCCTAATTGGCGTTGTCAACTTCTTCCACGTTAATCCAACACGTACTGTTCAAATTAACAGAATTATACTACTTGTACATCAAAACCAGAAGCGGATTTACATGGATCCAAGCAGTGTCACGGCACATCGGCTTCGTCGAATTTTTTTACTATTTGTATATATATATATAAATAATAAGTAAAATAGAAATATAAGATAAAAGCATTAAAAGTGACACCATTTACAATAAAATAGCTCAGTAGTTTAGTGGTTGACAGTTTTAAGTCTGATGTGAGAGGTCTCTGGAGGACCATGTTCTAGTAATGATGTATTGAGTTGAAACATAGCTAGGCCTAGTGAGTTTGATAATGGACTTTCTAAAAATGGGTTAAATGTGGATAAGATTCATATTATCGCTTAAAAAAAAATAATCAATGGATTTAATTTTTACACTTGCAAAGACTTAAATTGGAGATTCCTCAATTTTGGGAGACCGGAATTCTCAAAAGTGATCATATTCAAGAAGCCATGAATAATATAGATCCATATTATCTATAGTTAACCTATTTTTTATCCGTATTAAATATGAGTTGAGTCGGCTAATTTATCCATTTTTACATTACCCGTTTTAAACTCGTTCATATCAACCCGCCTGATTTGTACCCTTAGCTATGCTGGAAATTGAAACAGAGAAGGATTTGAACGTACAATATTGATTGCTGGATTAGGAATCCAATAGCCCAGTCCATGTAAGAGAACATCCACATGTGAAGTTTGATACCCACTCGTACACATCCAATGTTATCATGTGATATATGCAAAAGTTGGCGAATCAAGAGAAACTATGTAATTTCCACATTATGTAGCGAATATGAAATACAAATTATTAGAAGTCATGCACAATTAGGAATTTAGGATTAGAGGGGACCCCTGCGCTACAGTTACATATTCTAATTAAGAGCTGCACCATAAACATAATATCCTAATTGAACTACTACAGTTGATTTTGTGGCTCTGGTTTATTGCCACCAACATTAGGTAAACAAACCCATGTTTTAATCTAAATCACCAGTTGCTATTGGTGATTTGTCCTTTTCGGGTGAGATAGACATAGTGATAAGAGTGACATGATCAACCTACTTGTTTGGACTTGTCTGATTAATCAAATTAGCAGTACGCAACATGAGATTACCGTCCATTCATATTTTAACTTAGTCCCAGGATCACTTGCATGAGAAGAGCAGTGTTCTGCGTATTTTATTTTTCTTTTCCAAAAGGCTGATTCAGAAGCGGTGCATGCATATCCTAAAGCGTAAGTATTTTATGGAACTGAACGATTTTGTGTTTGACTCAAAATATTAAAACTTTTTTGAACAAATCAATCAAAGATGAAGGGGTAAATCTTACTCGAATATAATAATCTCTTGAAAGAATAATAGATAAAGAGAAGATGGTCGTTAAGTTTCTTTTCGTTCAAGAATAATAATCTCTCCGGAATTTTTTTGTTACAAAGTTATTGTCCTCCTTTTATACTGTAGACATGTGATTTTTGACTCTCCCCAAGATCTTTTATATATTAGCGCAAAATATTTAATTTAGGCGTAATATAGATATTTTAAGTAATTTTGGCTCTTTCAATTTATTTTAGTACAAGAAAACAAAAATTACAACAATATATAATAATATAATAATAAGTTCATTAATATTGGTAGTCATTTTTAATCCAAAAGAAAAATATAAAAATAGTATCGTATTTTGATTTTTAATATAATGTTTGAAAATACAAAAAAATAGATTTGTTTTAATGGTTGGTTTTGTTTTAATAAATTATTTTAATAGTAGGACTAATTAATAAATGGGCGCGTATTTTTAATCTCATTCGCGGCAAAAGAATAGAGCTTGGGCTCGGGCAATCCATCCTTAGGCCTAATTTTGGACCTAGCCCACAATTGCCAAGCCCATAACTCCTAGGCCCACACCCCTTAACCTAAAAACCCTACCCAAAAACCCTAGACTCTACACTATAAAAAAGAAGAAAAAGAATAAGAAAAGAGAGGGGAACGGGGAAAAGGCAGAAGTTGCTGCGCATGAAGGAGTTTTCCTTCTTCGTTTAAGAAGCTTATAGAAGCAGCAGCTATAACAAGCTGCACAACACTAAAACAACACCCCTTCACGTCGTCATCTTCTTCGACGGACGTCGAGAACCAGCCATCACCTCATTTCCATCTTCATCCTCACCCCTCTCCCCAACGAACTGAAACCACCACCATAGCAGCCCCTTCCCCCGTCGACGCACATAACCATACACACATACAGCAACAGTGGGAGATCGGGAGTAAGAGGGAGGTGGCGAGTGACATTCTAAAAATCAATGGAACAGTAGCCTCGATTTAGGTTTGTTCAAGCTGTCCGTTTGTGAATCTGAGGTTGCGATGCGAGGTCCGTCGTTGAACTTTGTCGCGTTTCCGGCGAGTTTCGAAGTCTGAATCGTGGTTCCGATTCGAGGCTGCGATTCCGGTTCAAGTTGAAATTTCGTCGTTTGGCACTCCACTATGAGTGTGTAATTGCTGAAAATTTTAGTTGAATGAAGCTTAAATTTCAGATTCTCTGAATTGTCAATTTTTATGCTCGGCTGGTCGATTGTTAGTTTTGGTTTGTCTATGCTTCGTCNAAAATACTGAGACGAGCCTCGCCCAGTAAAATGCAAAATTACGGGGCCCTCAAATTTTGTATTACCTTTAGGCTTCGGGATGTGCCGTTTAGCAAACTTCACAGCCTTCCCCAAAATAATATGGCATTAGACTCTTTAGGCACGATTTTAATAAAATTATCTTCTTAAACTCGGGTGCGCATTGATGCGACCCAAATTCAAATCTCGACGAAGTCGAAATGTGTGGACAACCACGGGTGCATTGATTGCGACGTGGTTCGAAATGCATTTTCACGATGTCGTAATTCTTTCAAAAATAAATAATGATAAAAAGCGGTTTACGAATAACGACACATAAGCTAGCATGTATTAAAATCAGATAACATCAAGTACAACAATTAAGCGACCGTGCTAGAACCACGGAACCCGGGAATGCCTAACACCTTCTCCCGGGTTAACAGAATTCCTTACTCGAATTTCTGGTTCGCGGACTGTTACCAGAGTCATAAATTTCCTCGGTTCGGGATTTAACCGGTGACTTGGGACACCATTAATCTCTCAAGTGGCGACTCTGAATAATTAATAATTAAATCCCGTTCCGATTGTCCTTTAAATGGAAAAACTCATTTACGCCCTTTGCGGGGTGTAGGTAGAAAAAAGGAGGTGTGACATATACTAAGAGAAAAATTCTTCTAAATTGTTAAAGACAAAATACCAGGAATATTCCTAATGTCCCCTAATGGGCTTACACTATTACAAGGGTCGTACAGTTTCTTCTTTGCCTTAAGGTCGTCTCCCTTGGGACGTCAACTCAAAGAGACCCCGTCGTTTGCCGTACTCGTCGTTGGTCGTGGTCGATCAAATTTGGACACATACAGTTAGTCCCTCCGCTTGTCGGGATTGCAACTGGGTGTATCCTCGATGAGCGGACTTCATGTGTTCTTATGGAGAAATTTGATCCGTTGAAACATTACGACATGGCCAACGAGGGACCTTCAACGTGTTCGGCAAGACATCGAGTGATACACTTTACCGGTAAATGATGTCAGCTTCACGTGCGTCATCATCACACATGTTTTCGAGGCAGGAATTGACGGCTTGATGCTTCGATTCTTGCGCTGCTTTGTGGCCTGCCGCCACCCAACCCTATAAATAGGTGAAGGGTTTGATTTTTCGAAAAACTTTAGCCACTTTACTCTTGATAACTTCTGTCACTCTTCCTAATTTGCTCTCATATCCTTCTGTTTCTTCTTACGTTCTTCATTTGAAGCTTCTTCTTCCTTCTTCTTTTTGTGTTGATATTCCTTTGAACGATATTATGCTGAGGTCTCGTCGTTCTTGTGAAGAGGCTCCTAAAGCCACCCCGTTGTCCATGGTGCCCCCTTCTGGTGGCGAAGATACGGTGGTA